CTCTCCCCCGCCCAGCCTCCTCGGAACTCACCTGCCGGCAGCCGGGACTTGGCTTCCCCCGCGCTGGTGGAGCGAGCTGCGTTGGAACAGCGCCGGAGAAAGCGAGCATAGGAAATGCAGCCCTTCCCCACGTCCAACCGCCCTTCACCTGGGTCCCCCACCCTTTAAACCGCCCTGGTCTTCTCTGTGTATCCCAAAGTCCAACGTGGAACCCAACCCCGCTTCCCTTCTCTACAGACTTTAAATGAAGCGCTTCCCCCGCGCTGGTGGAGCGAGCTGCGTTGGAACAGCGCCGGAGAAAGCGAGCATAGGAAATGCAGCCCTTCCCCACGTCCAACCGCCCTTCACCTGGGTCCCCCACCCTTTAAACCGCCCTGGTCTTCTCTGTGTATCCCAAAGTCCAACGTGGAACCCAACCCCGCTTCCCTTCTCTACAGACTTTAAATGAAGCGTGGAGTGTATCTCGGGTCTAATGAAACTCCCAAGCTGCCCCTTCTGTGTGCATCCAAACTTTTAAAAACCTGTAGTCCGGTGGTAAGTTTTGCGTTGAGTTTCAACAAGCACAGAGCTTGTTTACCATGAGGCTTGTCCGTGCCGCAAGCGGACTTTCATCTCTGTTGTTTGTTCTGTTGTGTAACTAATTCTGCTTATAAATGGGGTGTGATATTTATTTCCAGTGTTATTTTGTTCACATGATATTTTACACCCACCGTAGTCATTTCCATCCTTACATTCTCCAGGGTTCCGTTTGGTGGCTATCGGCTTCAAGACAACGCAGTTTAACGAAAAGCGTTGCAAATGTTTTGGATTATAAACAAACCCAACCTGGCATTATCCAATGTTCCTATAACGCATGGATTCCTTGGAGGCATGCGGTACTACATTTTGCTTAGCTACAGAACGAATCCAAAATTATTTGATCTTTCTTTCCCTCCCTCCCCCCTTTTTTTTGTGAGCAACTTGAAAATGTCTCGGAATTATTTTTCTATAACGAAAGGTAAATATGTTAAATGACCACAGATGAATATTAAATGACTGACAATCTTTGACTCCTTAAAATAAAGGCTGAAGGTACCGATGATCCTTATCTCTTAATTTGGAATAGGTTACATGAAAACAGCAAAGATGAGCATCAGACGCTGGATAAGGCCGCAAGAATGCGATAGAGGATTACTATGAGAAATAGTACAGGTTAGGTGGGTGGCCCTGGATTTGAGTCCTATTATTCTCCCACTGAGGTGCCTCTGAGCTTTGCCGTTGACTTCAAACAGCGGAGACCTTTTGATAGAAAATCCTTATGAATATTTTAACATTGGCCACTAGGGGGCTCTGAGGTTTCAGGGGAAAATAGTGCTTTATAAAATAAGGGTTTCGAGAAAATCAGCAGCCACTAACAAATAAAACCTTAGTATCCATGTTTCATTGCTGTAGCCCCTGGGAGGGTGGAGAAAAGTTTAAGTGGCAACTGGGTTGTTGGAGCAGCCTTACCTTTTTATGTCATCTCCCCCCTCCTCCCCCCCACACACAACAAACAAATCAAAGCAAATCTCCTCCCCTCCTTGCTGGCACTGACCCCTTCCCCTGTCCAAAACCCAGCTCTTTTCTTTTGGTTGCATATGTCATTAAGAACAATGCAGATTCTGGAAAATAACCAAGCTGGCCATTTTGTTTGTGCACTGATATTGCACAGGAGGCAGTACAAAATACAGCATGTTCTGCTGCAGGTACATTGTTTATTGTTCTTGAGGTCTTTGTCAACAAATTAGGCAACGGATACATTGAAAATATGTGTCTGTGTGAAGAAGGGGCTTTAGGAACCAAGTCTCAAAATATTCAGTAATTTTTCTTACCACAATTCATTCTAAATATAACCTCTGAAGAGCACAAGAGCAACTTACACAAGTCAAGTATTATCCCCATGGTCTGTAAACTGATTTTATTTGATTTACATTTCCACACAGATATTACACACTCCCTCTTAGCCATGGAATGCCTTTCTCTAACTGAAGTTTACTTAAAACCCACTTAGGTGTTGGTATCTGTAAAATAAATCAGCAGTTAATAAAGGTTCAAGAAGAATATAAGGATAATTGGCAGAACTTTTATAATATTTAAAAACTTTGCAAGAGGGCATATGTGTATAGAAATAGTATATATTGTGTTTCCTGTCAAATTTGGTGTATTGTCTGTCTTCTTAGGCCCTGACCCTGCATGTGAGAGCATGCATGCAGACTGCAGAACCCACATAGATTTGTTGGGGCTCTCTGTAGATATAGCACTCTGCCTGTACATTCTGAACTGAAGAATAGTGGCATTAACTTACAAATTTTTGAGGGTGAGAAACTGTATTTTCATCTATGTACAGTGCCTAATACAATGTGGTTCCAATCCACATTGGCATCTCTCAGTACTCCTGTAATGGAAATACTCTGTATTAAAATGCACTGGTATATGTTAGCCCTCATTTAGGAGCATAGGATTTTCACTAACAGATTATGTACATGAAGTGTCCAGTGTTCATCTAGTCTTGTCAGCATGACAGAGACATAGACAGTCAGATCAATTGGTTAGAGAACAAGTTGGGCTAATTCAGATACCAGGAGGTCAGAGTCCAAGACAGGTGAGAAGGCAGGCAGAGAATCAGGTATCAGGAGACAGGTGTGGTGTTACTCACATAGCTCCTCTTCATGACTTCCTGGTTTAAGTACCTGTATAAGGCTGTGTGGGCTGCCACTCAGGTCCTGCTGGGTGTTGATTCTTGCCAATCCCAACTTCACAGGGTCCTCCTGCAGGAGCCTACCCAAAGCCTCCTGTGGTGATGCAGAGGTGTCAGAACCAGAGCCGGTCCTAACCAATTGGTGGCCCCGGCCAAGCAAAAACAAAACAACAAAAACCCACCGGGGAAAATTCATCGAAAAAAAAAAAAGGATCGGGGACAGTTGGCCAAATGTGATTAACCACAAAATTCACCATCATCTTTTAAAATCCAGTTATAGTGTGTGACTCTCTGACTCCCTAGAACAGAGAATTCCACAGGCAGAGGGCATGCTGTGTAAAGAAGTGCTTTCTTTTATATCTTTTACATATCTTCACCCTTTCCTGTAGTTATTGGGATGGGGCTATGACCAGGTAATACTGCTCATTATTAAAAACTTAATTTGCACCTTTTAGATAGAAGAATTCCAAAGTACTTCACTGACTAGGTACCAAATTAAACCACTTCCAGGTGTTTAATCCAATAGGTGTTTAATGATGTTTCATAGTATCATAGGACAGGAACCAAAGAAGGCTACCTCCTATAATGGAACCTACAGAAGAATGTTATATAGAGAAGGTAGAAATGCCTACATCTGAACATGGCACAACAAGTCTGATCTTGTGAAATGTCAAGGTCTCCTTTTCAGCAGTGCAGAGTCTTTAATCCTATATCCAGAGCATTGTTTTAGATCTTACTCAAAATTAAGAGTACAACAAACAAGTTTCTTGATTTTCTTGAAGGTTGCTCAATTTCCCTGTTTTTTTTTAAAATTCTTCTCCTCATCCATTTGTAATTAGCAGTCAAGGAATCATCTTTATTTGACTTGAAAGTCAAATAGTTCAACTGCTATACAGTAGTTTGAAGAATAATCTTAAAAAATAAATGATTTATCTGAAAGTAATGTGATATTCGGTGAATGAATTATTTGTAAATACATTAATCAACCCATTTCTGTACCCGGGGAAAATTCTGTGAAAAAAGTAATCACATTTACTGGAAAAAAAACCAAATTTCATAAAATAAATAATTTCCTGATTATTATTCCTATATTTCCAAAAAATACTATTCCTTATACTTTCATTTGGCCATTTAACTTCTTTCACAGCCAATCCAGATGCCAGGAACTAATAGGACACAGGATGCAAAATTTGATTTCTCATCATGATCTCTGAAGATTTAAAGCCCTTTTCTGAGCACACAGACCTATATGCCCAATTTTCTTGTAACTTAAATGGGAAAAAGACAGAACCTGTCTTTTGTGTGAAATGAGTTTTATTCTACTTGTATATTTTCTTGCCAATCATATTTGGTTGGTACACTATAGAGACTAAATTGTAATGAAGTTCCAAAACAAGAAAGGGACACAAAATACTGGGGATGGAAGGAAGGGAATGATTAAGAAGGAAGACGTATGTATTCATAATGCAAGCCGATCAAATAAAGCACGTGGGAGTTGCTCTAACTGAATATGAGCTAAAGCATCTCTTGGCAGCACGAGAATGGCTGGCATAACTGCTTGCACAGCCTTTATGTTTATCTTCTGTTTTCTTCTTCATTTCTTTTTTATCTTGGAAAAGAATTTTAAGGGATAGCAAAAGGAGCAAGCTATAGCTCGAAGAATAATTTTAAAAAATGAATGATTTATTTGAAAGTAATCTGATATTCGGTGAGTGAATGATTTATAAATACATTAATCAACCCATTTCTGTATCCGGGGAAAATTTTGTGAAAAAAGTAATCACATTTTGTGAAAAAAACCCAAAATTCATAAAATAAATGATTTCCTGATTATTATTCCTATATTTCCAAAAAACACTATTCTTCATACTTTCTACATGCAGTAATGTAATTCAGGACCTTTCAGAAAACGTACATTGTTTGTAGTGCTTCTTTTTTATCAGAATATCAGTGGAGTTTGTAGTAACATGTGAATACGCACGGTGTACTTGGCATAAATCAGTAAGGCTCCAAACATACAAACAATCTGATACATATAAATAGTTGCATAAATGTTCCTGACTGTAACATTTTTCAGAATCCAGGCAGGGTCTGAAATAGTCCTCGTTCCCTGATGTTCAGGGAATGTTACAAAGTATATCTATGTACTAAGGCTTTTGGAAAGGGATGGAATTGAGGCTCACTGGAGGCTCGGCATCTGTGATACTATTCTGACATTTCAGAGGGGTAGCTGAACATATATATTGTTGTTATATATTGAGGGGTGTGAATATAAATATGAAGTTTTATTACCTTGCCTTAGCATTGGCCAAATGAGATTGACTGTAAAATTATCCATCACTTTTAAAAACCCAGTCAGAGTGTGTGACCCTCTTACCCTCTAGAATAGAGAATTCCACAGGCTGAGGACATGCTGTGTAAAGAAGTTTTTCTTATTTAGCTCCTTAACCTACATCCAAGGATGGCACTTTTGAGGCTATATTTTATAAAGCTATAGTAATTAAATAATCTCTATTCAGTCCAATACTCAATGGATATCAATCATCTTATTTGACCGTTGAAGCCAATGGTGCTTACATGATTTACAGCAGCTTGAGAATTTGGCCCTTTCACAGCAATGGAATTACACCAGAGATTATTTTTGTCCAGTATATGCTTTAAAATTGGCTTTCAAATATGCTTTAACTATGTTTATTTAAAATAGTAATTTTCATACTATTTATCCTGAAGGATTCTTTCTGTTTTCTACCTCCTTTTGGACCTTCTCCAAAGACAAGGCATTTATTATTATAATTGCTTCTAATTACTTGCCATTATAAATACAAAAAAATAACAGGCGAGACCACCAAGAGACTGCTTATTGTGACATTTTTATAGCTGTGAAGGATTGTTTTCCTCCTCCTGTTATTGAAGAAAAAAGTAATAAAATTAAAGGTCTTGAATGGACTTAGTTAAAAAGAGTAATTACCATAGGTTGCTCAGATGGGATCTGCATAATTCAAGGTTTTATTTTCTCTATAGAACTGTGCTCAAAGAATAACTCCTTTAACAACAATTTTCTGAATATTTATTTATTTATTTATGTATTTATCTATTTAAAGGAAAGGGACCTTTTTTATTCATTTTACTCTCCTCTTTCCCAAGGCTTATCTCTTGGACTCATCTGATCTCTCTCTGGCTTCTCTGAGTATCTTTGATCCCTACATCTTGTACTAACACAATAATTGTTAACAGCTGAAAGTTATACATCTGTATGTTAAGGTTTCACTGTTCCCACACCCCCTATTGAGAAGCAGAAGTTTAAATGGGACGTTGTGCAATAAGTCTTGGGACAAGGATGAATTTCACCTCCAAAACTCCCTTTTTGGGATATAGAAAGGAAATGAACACAAGGTTTTCAGTAGAAAACCTCCCTCCAAGATGAGAAGGCTATCAACATACACCGGCAATAAAGCTTGGTAGAAAGTTTGATTTGAATATTTAATGTTTAAATCTATACTTATGATCCTTTTGTCTCTGATTTATAGGAATACTCATGTAAACAGGTTTTAATGGCATGAATTTTCATGGGTAGCTAATGTCACAGTAACCACTGATGTGGTGGTATCATGAATTGGAAACACGATTAAATTTGGACATGTGAATGATATTGTCAGCTGGATTTTCCTATTAATCCGAATGGAGAACAGAAATAACACTTTATAACTAAACTTAGTTGTAACCATTTACAACTAAGCTACATTGCTTGAAGAGTGATGGAGGATTAGCCGTTTAGGGAGTCACAAAAACTCTCTGAATATTTTGTTTTTTCCCACTTATTTGAATTTGCTCACAGATACTTCATGCACAGACTTTGGGGCTAACTTTTTTGCACATCAGTTATTAATTGTAAGTCCTTTACTCAGCACTGAGAGTATTTAGAGTTATCACAGGTGAGCTGTCAATGTCCTTTCCAATGTCCTTCATGAACAATATTGAAACAGAAGATAAGGAGAAAGGAATCTACCAATGTCCATCCCCTAAATTTGCCAGATGTTGGTTGTGCCAAATAAATGGCAGTGTCCCCAGAGAAGAATAAGGAAACAAGATTAAAAATAACATATCTGAAATTTCTCTATAAATGGACCTCAAAGAAGAACAGATGACATTTGGTTATCTAGATAACCTGTTATATAGCCTTCGGGATGGGAGAGAGATTTCTACTACCTCTCTTGACCTCTTTAGTAGAATCAGAGCCACAGCCAGCATTGAAGTGGGAATATTGGGATACTAGTTCTGACGTTTACTTTGTAGTAGCTCTTCCCTGTTGAACAATAGAACTAACACTGTTTCTTTGTGTAGAGTAATTTTAATGACTCCACAGATGGGGCTTCCATCACTTCTTTTGGGAGACAATCCCAGCTCTGTAGACTTAAGTCTGAACTGACATTCAATCTTCATTTTCCTTGCTTGCTTTTAGCCTGTTTCTTCTGGCTATATCACGCAGCACCAACACAAGGAATTCTTCTCTCTCCTCAGTTTTTACAGCTTACACATCTGTAGACTGTCACCAGATTTCATCCTCGTACCTTTAATTGTGCCCTAGCCATTCTATTCACATATAGCCGTGTGACATTATCAGTTTAAACGGTGCCCATACAGCTTACTGTTGCAACCACTGTGTTATGTTTGCATGAAATCTTGTACAAAGTGGGCCAAGTGAAGTGTCTATCAAAAGGTGGCTCTGTTTATAGCATTTGTATGCATGTATCATTTTTGTATTTGAAGTGATGAGTGTTGGCTTTGAACTTAATGTTTCAAATGTTCATTTCTGAGAGACACCAATAGGAAGCTTGGCTAGCCTATTGTGACAGGTCTTCTGGTCAAGTGAATAGAAGTATTTGACTGACAATGGGCCTTGAGTGGGGCCAATTCACATCCAATGAGCTTTTCTGTGAATGTTTAGATTAGGGTTGCCAGGTGTCCAGTTTTTGCCCGGACAGTCCGGTATTTGTGGCCTCTGTCCGGTAACAATAACAGAAAATACCGGACATGTAAAATTTCTGTTATTTTCTGTTTTTCTTGGATGGAAGGCCAGTGGGATGTATGGGCAGGGGCAGGGAGAGTGGGATTTAAAGGCGCAGTGCCTCTTTTTTTTGTTGTTTTTTTGCTCAACGAATTTTTTTCCCGCCATGTTCGGTATTTTGTGTGAAAGTATCTGGCAACCCTAGTTTAGATCAGCATGGGAGCAATCACATCCACCTGTAAAGAACTGAGTCATGTATGGAAAGGTGATTTGCTCATATGAAAAATTCTATTTTGTATCTGTATTTTTCCACAGGAGAACAATGGGATTCCCTCTATATCGGGGCGGGGCAAAATACAACCTGGGGGCTGGATTTGGCCCACCAAGCCACTGGATCTGGCCCGCGGACCACCCTGCTGGGACCCTCAGGCAGCAGCTGCCATGGTTTCAAACACTGTCTCTGCCATTCTCTGTTCTGCAGGCAGAGGGAAGCTTCGTGCAATCTCCTGGCCCCCAGCCCAGTCCTCAGCTCCTATTGGCCAGAAACAACCCGCCAATAAGAAATGACCTCAGCCAATCACTCAGCTTCTATTGTCTGGAAACAGCAAGCCAGTCAGAGCTAAGAGATTGGCCTGAGAGACTAGGGCAGTGCAAGCCTCTTCCTCGTGCCCAATTGAGAGCCATGTGGAGGGAGGAGGCTGCATTTTCAAGCAGGCTGGGGCTGCAGCAGGCAGGGAGCCCAGCCTGCCATGGAGGTGCTGCAGCCTGCTGGCCAGGAGACACTTAGGTAAACTTCTCCCAGCCAGCACCTGCCTCCTGCACCCCAGCCTATTCTGCACCCCAGCTCCCTCCCCTAGATCACCATCCAAAGCCTCTGCACCTTCTGCCCCAGGTGCCAACACCCTCCCAGACCCTGTTACCCCATCCCTCACCCTTCCCCCAGGCCAGAATCCTCTCCTGCACCCACACTCCCTCCCTGACCCTACACCCCAATCTCTGCCAAACACCCCAATCCACCCAAACACCCTCTGAGACCCCACACTGTCTTCTGCACCTCAGTCCCTTACCCTGTATGCCCTCCCGCACCCCCTCCACAAAAAAGTGTGGCCTTTGACCACTTTCCAAAATCTAGGAGTGGCCCCCCCACCAAAAATTATTGCCCACCACTTGCTCTATATGGCCAAAGATATATAAAGGGCCCTGAAAGTCCTCCATTTTGGTTTTCAATCCTGCTTTTCCCCTCTGTAGGATCTTTGCTATGAATTGAAGCTTAGAAAAAAGGACTGATGACCCATCCAATGTGGATGTACTCCAGAGATTCTGTACTCCAAGGACTTCATAGAATCATAGGGTTGGAAGAGACCATCAAAGGTCATCAAGTCCAACCCTCTGCTAAAAGCAGGGCCAAACCTAACTAAATCATCACCAGCCAGGGATTTGTCAAGCCGGGACTTAAAAAACTTGATTAAACATTATTCCATCTCTGCTACAAGACTGCACCAAGAACTTTGCAATTGGTGTATGTATTTCATTCCTTTAACAATTCTTTTCCTTCCTTCCTTCCTTGTCTAGACTACTTGCCTCTGCCAACAGAGACTACATGCCTCCCCTGCTTCATTAAAATAAAAATGGCCACCACGCTGTTCCAGCTCAGCTGATCATCGGCACAGCGCGGCAGTCAAGACGTGGAGCAGTCGACAGGGAACGCCTTTGTCGACCGCTTCTGTAAACCTCATTTCATGAGGCATAAGGGAGCGGTCAACAAAGGCATTCCCTGTCGACCGATCCACGTCTTGACTGCCGCACTTTGCCGACAATCAGGTGAGCCGGCACAACACGGCTTCATTGACTATGTCGGGTAGTCTAATTTACATGCCTCTGGCGACAGAGGAATGTAGTCTAGACATACCCTAAAATGTGAATATACCTATCTTTCTGAGAAGGTGGAGAGGAGATAACTCAGGAGCTATGGATTTCTGCTATCCACTATCTGACTGCTACTGTTCCAAATAGAGTTTGGCAACAATTCTATTTTGTTTTTCAGGGATGAGGCTGGAAAGAATCAAAAGTATCATTCACATTCATCTCTTTTTCCTCGATTCTGAAGGATTTATCATCAGCATGCTTTTTAGGTAAGATTCTCTACTTCACAATTTCTGTTTGATTATAATTTTGAAGGATTTTTTTTCTAGAACTAAAGGATTTTCCTGCATTAACAAAGATCCCAGGCTCTTAAATATGGCTCTTCCAGAACAAGAGGCTAGCTATTAATGCCTAATCCCTGGGCTTTTCTTTTCTTTGTGTGTGACCAACAGAGTAAAAACAGAAGAAAAAAATACAGTCACACAAATGACCTATTAGAAAGTGTTTTTTGGTCTCTTAAATCACTTCACTTTCCAGATTCAGTATGATATTTCTTGTCTTAACTCTGGAAAGCAATACACTGTTCTTTTCTTGTTTGGGTTGTATTTCTCAGTCTATTTTCCCCACTACTGAATCTCCTATAACTTCCACCACCCAATTTATTCTGTTCAACAGCTGGTGCTCCTTCTTTATTCCTGATTGTTCTTTCTTCCTTCTTGTCTCACTGCAGGTCCTTACTTTTATTCTGAAGGTTCACTGCACCTTGATCATAATCCAAGATGATATACGGTGTAGGATTGTAAGTCCTATGGCCTGAAACCTAGAAGAGAAAGGAGATAGTTGAGTAAGCTCTGTGCTAGCAGCTATGTCTAAACTACATTCCTCTTTCGAAAGAGGAATGTAGTTTAGACATAGCTGCTAGCACAGAGCTTACTCAACTATCTCCTTTCTCTTCTAGGTTTCACCTTTTTTTTGAAAAAGAAACCGCAGTCTAGACGGGGTTCTTTTGAAAAAAAAAACACCCTTTTTTTGAAAGAACCCGTACTCCTGAAAAAATGAGGTGTACAGGTCCTTTTGAAAAAGGGTTTTTTTGAATTTTCGATCAGCTTCATTTACATTCCTATTTAGAAAGAGGAATGTAGTTTAGACGTGCTGGACAAGAAGGGGAGTTGACTGTGTGAGGCAGTACCTCATATAAATGTCAGCTGTACTCTCAACCATACCTCATTTAGGGTATGTCTACACTACAAAGTTAATTCGAAATAACAGCAGTTATTTCAAATTATCTTTAATAGTATCTACACAGGCAAACTGCTAGTTTGAAATAAATTCAAAATAGTGGAGCCCTTATTTCAAATTTGGTAAACCTCATTCTACGAGGAGTAACAGCAAATTCGAAATAGCTATTTCGAATTAAGTGTTGTGTAGACATTTAATTTGAAATAGGGGGCCTCCAGCCCTTGCCAGTGAGCCCTGGTGGCCACTCTGGGCACAACTAGGAAAACTTACTCTCCTCTCCCCCAGTCCCGGAGCCATTAAAGGGGTAGACCCTGGCCACAGTGCCTGTGCCAGCTCCAAGCCTGCCAGCTCAGAGCCAGCAGTGGCCAACG